ATATATCCAGAAGCACATTTGTGAGGTCAGGTACTGATGTTAGACAAGGAGGCCTGGCTCGCAGTCTCGCTCTAATTCATCCCAAAGGTCTTCCATTGGGTTGAGGTCAGGTCTCTGTTCAGGCCAGTCAAGTTCCTCCACCCCCAACACGCTCATCCATGTCTTTATGGACCTTGCTTTGTGCACTGGTGCGCAGTGATGTTGGAACAGGAAGGGGCCTTCCCCAAGCTGTTCCCACAAAGTTTGGAGCATGAAATTGTCCACAATGTCTTGGTATGCTGATGCCTTAAGACTTTCCTTCACTGGAACTAAGGGGCCAAGCCCAACCCCTGTAATACAAACCCACACCATAATCCCTTCTCCACCAAACTTTACACTTGGCACAATGCAGTCAGGCAAGTACTGTTCTCTTGGCAACCACCAAACCCAGACACATCCATCAGATTGCCAGACAGAGACGCGTGATTCGTCACTCCAGAGAACACTTCTCTAGAGTCCAGTGGCAGTGTGCTTTACCCCACTGCATCCGACACTTTGCATTGCACTTGGTGGCGTAAGGCTTGGATGCAGCTGCTCGGCCATGGAAACCCATTCCATGAAGCTCTCTACGTACTGTTGTTGTGCCAATCTGAAGTCCACACGAAGTTTGGAGGTCTGTAGCTATTGACTCTGCGACAGTTGGCGACTTCTGCGCACTGGGCACTTCAGCATACGCTGACCCCGCTCTGTCATTTTACGTGGCCTACCACTTTGTGGCTGAGTTGCGGTTGTTTCCAGTTGCTTCCACTTTGTTATAATACCAGTAACAGTTGACCGTGGAATATTTAGTAGCAAGGAAATTTCACAGATGGACTTATTGCACAGGTTTCAACCTGTCCCGATACCACGCTTGAATTCACTGAGCTCCTGAGAGCGACCCATTCTTCCACAAATGTTTGTAGAAGCAATCCTCATGCCTAGGTGCTTGATTTTATACACCTGTGGCCATGGAGGTGATTGGCGATTTACATACACAATTTCCACTTTAAGCTCACAGGAAGTAACAAGAACATTGCATTTTTGGCAAGATTAATATGCATATTCTGTACTTGCTGAACATTTTCTTAGCCTGAAATAAATAGAACTAATGCAGTCACCACATCTAAGGACTGGTAAGCTGCAATACATAATGCATTTTTGTATTTGGGTTTAAATATACTTTAAGGGAACCTGTCAGGACAAAAATGGGAGCTGCCATTGCCAACTTGGTTTTGGAAAAGCACCCTCTAAAATTGTAATCCTTATCCTTGCTGAGCCACTCACTGAGAACTAGCATAAAAGTATTGCAACACCACATATGCAGACACATGAAAGTCAGTGAATCACTAGACAGGAAGGGTATGAAATACTTCTCTTCTCATGAAAAACTGGAATTCAGGCTTCCCCCAGGCAGACAGTCAACTGATCCATACCATAGGGGGGTGGGGGACTGGAAATCAGACAACGCCAGCCACTCAGCGGTTCTGCCTGAACAATGGCCCTCCCCTTCAACACAGACCACATGACCAACACCATAGACTTGGCCAGAGTTACTATTTCTAAAGAAAGGTTAAGTGATTCACAGACTTATTTAGCATTACTGTGTAAAAAGAAGCAGGGCTGGTAGAATGAGCTTAGGGGGATAAAACAAAACAATTCAATAGATACAGCAGAATTTTAAGGTGTGCACTGTAACAATACAGTTGTACCCAATGCCCTCAATGACATTCGGTGAGAGAATTGACCATATTAGAGCATATCTAGAGCCGTTTTTTTTTAAAGTTTTCGATTAAGTTAGGACTGTGTAAATACCCTGTGCACAGACACAACAAGCAGAAGAGTTCTCCTAAGCCCTCAATCACACCTACCAAGTAGGTGCGATTTGGAATTCCTCTGGCAGGAACTTGCAATCTCCTGCAGCAGGAATTCCAGATCTTCCTTTTACAAGTGGCAGCTGTCACCCTTTCAAGTAAATGATCTTGTGACAGCAGCTGCAATTAAAAGTGGCACAATGCTGACACACAGCATGTGATCATATGTGATAACAATACATGTGGTTAGGAATCAATTACTATCCCTGGATGCATTGTGCCACTTGTAAAACAGAAGATCTGAAGTTCCTGCTGCAGGAACTCTAAAATCGTACCTACTTGATAGGTGTGAATGAGGCCTAACCGTCTGTGCCAGTGACAACCAAAACAGTTTGGATTCCTATTAACTTTAACAGATATATTAAGGTAATCTCACTCATTAAACACATACCTGACTTGAGAAGTCTCGAAACCTTGCCTCTTTCTGCTTCCAAGTCAATGGAATATCTGCTCAGTTTGACAGCAACCCACATTACTGCCTGGAAAAAGCAGGCGTCCCATATGTCTGAGGGAGTCATTGCATTCCGAGGCTACCTAATCAGGTATGTGGCCTGACAGATTTCTTTTTAAACGCAGCACTGAATTACATTAAGACGCATTCCTCTCACTGAAATGTGCAGCTGCAGAAGAAACCAGAGGAATAAATGTGCTGCTTAAACATCACACACGACAGATTCATGAATGTTGGCTTATGCAAAACACATTACACTAAATTATTTAAATCAGAAAGGAAAAAAATGCAGGTCTTACCTCTGACGAAGGAGTTTCCATTGCAGCTCATTTCCAGTTATCCATGCTTGCTGCCATAAGCACATTGTCGGAACCTCAGAAAGCAAAACAGGAATTCCTTACTATTAATATTTCATTCCCTTTCCATTCTTTTGAGAACGCATGCACACACACTGATCAATGAACACTAAAAGCATTTGCTTCCTGTCTTTCCCTCCCAGTTGCCTGCAGCTCTTTAGTATTAAGCTACATTAAAGGATGCCTCCATTTTCTCTGCTTCAAACAGCATCCTGTGACATGTTTACCCATGTGACAGACAACCTAATCTCAGGTCATTCAAAATCCACTCACTCATTCTCAGGCTCAGATGCATGGTAAAATTCACAAGTCACTATCTCACATGGCTTTGGAGTAAGCAATACTGCATTTTTTATATTTACATTAGGTAATAATGTTTGTAAAATCTTGATTTTAGCAGAAAAAAATGCACAATAATACTTTGATCATGTACCAAAATGGACTGATGTACGGATTATTATAAATCACAGAACAACTAGATTTCAATTTACTTTAGACTAAAGAAACCATTGAGGAAATTGCATTAGTTTGCAATGGGTAATACCCTTCACTTTGTTACAAAAGTCCAATAGTGTATATCCTAGAGGTGCACCGAAATGGAAAAAAATAAAAAAACCATCGGGCCGAAACCAAAAATGTTTTTTTTTTCCAAACTTTATCAAAAAAAAAATGAATAATTTAATTTTAATTTCTTTCCTATATATTTTTTTTTTAATTTATTTTTATATAATATTTGTATTTTTTACTTTACGGTCGGGGGCTCTGGGAAATATCAGGTGTCTAAACAGACCCCTGATAGTTCCCTTTTAAAACAGAAAAAGAGATTGAGAACACAAGAGTCCTCAATCTCTTTTTCTGCAGCCCCTGTTCCAAATGAACAGGAATCCTCTATACGGAGTGTTCCTGTTTATTCATAACTTGTGGACAGAGTGTGTTTACTATATCCACAATCATGAATGAACAGGAGGTGATGTAGATCGCTTCCCATTTCATTATTAGGGACACAGTCCACATACTCTGTCCTCAATTATTTACAAAGACTCAGCAATCACTGATCACGGAGTGTTTGTACCCGCTCTCCTTTCTAACCCGCTGTCACAGGAGGCTGAACAAACAGTGCGGGGAGGAAAGCTTGATCTGACAGCTGACTCCTCCCCCGCACCGCCGGCCAGCCTCCTGTGACAGCACTGGCTATCTCTGCCCACACGGCCGCTCTCCTGATCTGTGACATGAGGCTGCGCGGGGAGGAGAGAAACCGGCCACTCACAGCGCTCTCCTCCCGCAATGCTCATCCGCCTGTTTCTCTCCTACACGCTGGGCAACAGAGCAGCGAACAGCAGGGAGGAGAGAAACTAAGGATGTATCACTATTTCGGCCAAAAACTGGGACTTCGGCATTTCGCCAAAAGTGCAATTTTCGGCGGCCGATATATCGGTGCATCCCTAGTATATACTTCTATACACCAGGTTAATGCATTCATATTCTGTATAAAAACACATTTACAATTACATTTTTCCTCCGTTAGTCTGCTTTATGACTTCAATATACACAAAGTTCTATAGATTAGTATAGAACATTAGCCTACGCATAATGCAAGCTCTTTTATTACACAAAGAAACCCCTCATCCTGTCTTATAGATTCAGAAAGGGCCCTGCAATTAATAACCCCACTTAAAGCCAGATTTTGGCCAATTTCCAAATTCATTCCAACCACACTGCTATTTTGTACTGAGAGATTCAATTAGCAGGCCATTATACTGATCAATATTGATTTAATTCCCCCAACTATAGCAGACGCTGGTCTCATCAAAATCTGTTTTAACCAGGGCTATTAAGTGAAGCTCCCATTCAATATGAATTGAGCATGCTCCTGTCTAGCCGTGCTATCGCCTCTCAACAATGGGATTTTGAAAGGTGTGATGGAACGCCATTGGCTTGAAGCAATAATGTGCACAAACGGAAATAAAGCTTATATTTGATTTCATGAGCAAAACACTAGCTTGAAAAATGAAGTCTCCTCCTATTTCTAAAGATTAGGGAGGTCGATGGCCATAGCAACTTACAGGAATATACAAACAAACAGAAACCATCACAAAGGACAAGGCTAGACAAATCCTGGTCACCAGGTTGACATGGCCAGCAAAAAAACTCACTGGCAACCTAGTCACTGAAGTCTTTATTTGAGGTCATATTGACTGCCATTTCATCAGTAGGTGACATCTGAAGAAGAAAAAAAAAAAGATGACAATCAACATGGCACGTTTCTGGGTGAAGTGTTCTCCTTCAAGCAGGGTTGGGCAAATGAAGCATGCATTCCACAGGCATGACTCCCAGCGGCAGAGGCATGATAGGACTTGTAGTTAAAGCAGAGCTGGAGGGCCAAAGTTGCCCACCCCTGCCCTAGAGCAAAATAAATGGCTGTTCAGTCTGGCTTAATAATACCAAGCTCACAAAGGGAGGAAGAGGAATGGGCAGAGCTGAACTTTGTTTGACTGAGAGAAGTCCGTGCTGTACATGCAGGGAGCTGTAGGGATTCTCACAGGCATGCTAGCTCACTGATCTCTACAGCAAGGCAACCATAAGTCTGTGGCCTGTACATTTCTTTCATGAGTGGTGATAAACAGCTACATTCCTTGTCAGAATATACAGGATATCAAACACTGCACGGACAGGTAAACTGTTACCTCTAACCCTGTAACACCCATGTGTGTTGTGGCATATGCATTGCTAGAAAACATTGAAAAGGGTTTATAATTATTCTGCCAGAGCTGAAGATGTTTCAGCTACTAAATATCAGACTGGTTATCATTCACCTTATGTGGGCACGTTTACTGTCAACTAGAAAAGTGATCTGCTCGTACAGAGAGTCTTAGTCATACCCGGTTGATACATCATTTCAGGTTTTTCAAGCAAATGTGCTCTTAATCTATACTTTCACACTCTTTGGTTCTCTTTTTTGGCAGTCTCTCATGCTCTCTCTGGCTTTCTTTCTAGTGGTCTCATGTTCTCTCTGGCTATATTTCTGGTGTTCTCTCCCGCTCTCAATGACCCTTTTTCTGATGATCTCTCGGGTTCTCATTCTGGTGGTCTCTCCCACTCTCACTGACCCTCTTTCTGATGTATGACCCTCTTTCTGATGCTCTATGTCTGACCCTCTTTCTGATGTTCTGATGCTCCCTCAGGTTCTCATTCTGGTGGTCTCTTCCGCTCTCAATGACCCTCTTTCTGATGCTCTCTCAGGCTCTCATTCTGGTGGTCTCTCCCATTCTCAATGACCCTCTTTCTGATGCTCTCTCAGGCTCTCATTCAGGTGGTCTCTCCCATTCTCAATGACCCTCTTTCTGATGCTCTCCCAGGCTCTCCTTGGGTCTCATTCTGGTGGTCTCTCATGCTCTCTTTGGCTCTGCTCGCTGGCTCTTTAACTTTATCCTTCTCCATCTCTTTCTATGTATGACTACTTACCATCCCCTTATTCTGTCATGATGCGCAGATGTCAGGTAATATTGCATTTGTGATGTCAGAAGGCTGAACTCCATTATTTATATTTGGTTTGCAGTAAAATTATTCCTGCATTTAAAAAAATAAACAAAAAACAAAAACAGAAAGCTTGTATCATGGAGTACATTTTTGCCCTCTGGCTGTTAAAAATATCTGTGGCGAATACTGGTGTGCGTTTCTTTAAGAGTGAGTGTATGTCTGTGTTAGTAGCCTAGCGTCTTGTGTGTGAATATGCATTAGTAAGGTGTATAGCTGTAGATCTGTGCCACTAAAGTGTGTGTGTATGGGTAAATGTCTGAACACAGGGCAATGGTTACTTGGATTTTTCTGGCCCGGTTTTACTGACACATTTTCACACATGTACTTTACTGTGTGATAATAAAATCGGCCTGGGTAAATAATGGTCATCAAGGTGACCGCCCATAATTTGCTGCCTAATTTTTTAGGCTTTATCTTGTCCAGGCCTGACAAAGCATTCTGCGGTTTAGGCACACACATACATTACATTGCTAGTAGCCATATAATTCACCTACTCTAAGTGATTTTGTGGCCAGGCTATAGACATTCGAGTATTCACATATTTTTAAAAAGCTATAAAAATGAGCTTTCAAACAATCCCTGAACTGATGTCTGTAGTGGCAGGCAGTTTGAAGTATCTGATCCTCAAAGTTCACAGCAGAAGCACTAAAGTTCTCTTAGCAACTCAGTTTTCCCTGCTCCTTTCTGTGCTTCTATTGGAGATTAGAAGGCTGAAATGCTGCCATCTTACTGCTGGGTGTGGAGAGCAGGGAGAGCTGAGCTGGTAAGCACTTCAGTACTTCTCCAGTAAACATTAAAGGACTGATTGCCCCACAAAGGCTGTGGCTACACAGGTTAGTGCAGGCTTAAAAAAAAAAAAAAAACAGATAACAAGGGAAATTGAAAGGAGACTAAAGTGTGTGGTGTGCTTTACAATTTGCTTAGGTCTACTGAATAACATCCAGAATACCAGGATGCTCTGCATATACATGCTGTCACTTGCACCACAAACTGTGTAGTGGACGCATTACACGTTTTGACAGGACTACACTTTTCTTCCCCAAAAAAACTTTAAGGACTAACTTGCACTTTGACTAAATATTTATTGGCGTCAGGGGAATTTAGAAATGGCAATATATATACATCATAACAGCTGAGCATTTGCTAATCTGGCTTGAATAGTCCCACTGTGTCCATCATGTCTATAAAGCATAAATAAAAGAAAATGAGTCTGAACAGATTTGTTCTTAAGTACTTCTGAATGTGAGGCAACATGAAGCTGACTTAGGAGGCTAATCAATGTTAGCCCACTAAGAAGCAATATTATTTCAATGTCTGCACGTTTTAAGCAGAGATTTTGAAGAAGGAAACCCACATCTCAGTTCCTTGCTAAACGGACCTACAGGATTTATCTGCAGCTTCCTCATTTTGTTTTTTCCTCCCCCGTATGATGCTCCAGAGCACAAGGAGTTGTAAAATAAAGATCACATTAGCCAAAGTG